TAAGAGAAGCATGTAATATATAGGTAGGAAGCCACATGTGCTATGAAAAAATCAATGGGCAAAGAGAGAAGAGATGCTGAGGCAGCTGTTTTAGATAGTGGGGCCAGTGAAGACTTCTCTGGTGAATGATGTCTGGGCAAAAGCCCCATCTCTGCCTTTCTGATCTCCCAAACGGTTATGGGGTGCATTTCCAATTCAACTGAATCCCACTTTAGGGCCAAAATGACTTTCAAAAATCAGACACGGGTAAATCGTGACTCCTTCTTTCAGCGATTAATTCCCACTAAACCTGGAATGCACCAGCCATGGGGAATGTCACAGCAGACCAGGGAGTCACTGCTTTTCGGGAATGCTCATTTGGGTTGTTTAGTCCCATTAGCAAGTTCCTTAGCTTTTCACATTACTTTATTTTTGTCCTTAGAAATTTCACTCTGTGCCTTTGCTATAAGCATCAACGAGCTTCTCAGGGATGCTGTGACTGTGTTTCCGTCTGTGTGAGAACCTACAGACAGGTCCTTTCCTTAGAGTGTTGGCAGCCTTTCAGGCTGGTGGAGTGCTTCTCTGTCCAGCCAAAAGGTGGCATCGCATCCAGGGGCAGGTCCAGAAAGGCGGTCTGCAAGCCTGGGCTGGCAAAGGAAAGACTCAAGTCTCCTCTCTATTTTGGGAACTTATTAAAGTGACCAGCGTGTGACAGATGGGGGCCCGGGGCAGCCCTAGAAAGGACATTCTTCTTTCTTCTGGACCTGATTGGAGGCCAGTGCTTTGGAGAGCCTCATGCCTCCTGCAGTAGTAGACAATGCATCCACTCCTTGATGGCAGCTCCTCATTCCACATGCACTTCTGGTGCGTTGGTTTAGTAAGGGGATTGCAGTGGGTTGAATGGTGGCCTCCAAAAAATATGTCCATGTCCTGACTGTCGTAAACCCGTGCATGTGACCTTATTTCTAAAAAAGGGTCTTTGCAGATGTAATTAAGTTAAAGATCTCAAGGCAAGATCATCCTGAATTTGTGGTGGGCTCTACATCCACTGACTAACGTCCTTATGAGAAGAAAAACACTGAGGGAGATTTGGGTCTCAAACACACAGAGGGAAGAAGACCATATGAAGACAGAGAGAGAGGTTGGGGTGATGCAGCCACAAGCCAGGGGCCACCAGAAGTAGGAAGAGGCAAGGAAGGATTCTCCCCTTGAGGCTTGGGGGGGAACATGACCTTGAAGGCACCTTCACTGTAGATTTCTGGCTCCCACAACTGTAAGGGAATAAATTTCTGTTGCTTTAAACCACTATGTTTGTAGTGATTTTTTAGGAAACAGATACAGGGACATAAAATGCAGGCTTGTTCTGAATATGTTTTCCCTGAAAGTTCCCAGAAAAGGGGGAAAAGAAAACTCACGCCCCAAGATACTCAATATAAGAGTCAGTATGGATGACTCCCAGAGGTCTAATTCCTTATGTACTTGAGGCTGCGTAGCAGCTGTTTTGTTCCTCTCCTATTGCATTTGGTCCTCACCAAAGTCTCATCGTTGTGTTACATCACACGTATGCCTAGTCTGAACAATTCTTCTTTCTCAACCTCTCGATCTTGTCATTTCTCACCTTCCCCTTCCTTTCCATTCACACACAGAGTCTGAAACATTTCTGGCTTATTTTTTATTTTACGTATTACCTTTAAAAATTACTTTTAACTCACAGGTATTCTGACACAACAATTTATGGGCATTTGTATATATGCGCATGCTGCAAAACGATTAATTGAGCGTTGTATGTTTTTATCAAAGGAAACAACGCAAAGATTTCTCCAAAGTCCCGTTTGACTAAAGATGATTAATTTTAATTTTCACATGAGCGGCATAATGCTATTAATCATTTAATATGTTTAATCATAATCTCTGTAATTCCTAATTAGGTGTATTAAGCTGAAACATCCAGCAGTTATGCACAAATCCAAATGTAAGTTTCCTTCTTGGGATGAGAAGGAGCTCATTTTAATTTGCATGTGAACAGCAACTTCTAACAGGAGGGGAGAAACCCACTGGCAGCTTGGGGTCTCAGCTGCTGCTTCTGCAAACTTAGTCTTGTGATAGAGCTCCAAGACCACTGACCCCTCTAAAAGGCGACAATCCCGCAATTCAAGGTCATTCTCATCTCATGGACATGTAACCAAACTTCATATCACCAGCAGAGAAAACATGGTCCCTGCTCTATTTGGGTCTCAGGGTTATAATATTGTTCTTGGATTATCACCAGAAGGTGGCAAAACTGATGGTTCATGCCTTCATTCTTTGGTTTATTCATACTCACAATTCATTCATTCATTCATTCATTCATGTGGTCAGCAAGTCAGCCAGGCATTAAACAGACATCCATCATTTGTCTATGATGGCTCAGCCTCTGTGTCATATGCTGGTCGTGTCATACCCCTGCTATGATCCTTAAGTGGCTCCTCATAGCTTTTAGGATGAAATTTATATTCTTGCCCTGCACTCAGTGCCTTTCATGATCCAACCCGCTGCCTATCTCTGCAATGTGCTCTCCCTCCCTTCCTTCATGCATGCCCCCTCCGACCACTGACCCTAAGGTCCACTATACTCCCCTGAGTCCAGAACATTGCTTCTCCTCTATGCATCTTTGCACATGGTCTTCCCTCTGCTGGGGCAGCATCAGCCCCCTTCACCTCTTCTCTCAGACATCTCCCACTTGAAATTTAGCCTCCAGAACCGACAAGCCTCCAGCTGTATGATATGTCCCCCATTTAAGTTTACTCAGCCCTTTGTGATCCACACTCATCCCAGCACTTAACAGTCTGTATTTCAATTGTCTTTTTCTACCTCTTTCTCTTCCGCTAAACTGGGACCTGCGCATGATTTGGAGGGCTGACTTCCGTGTCCGGTATATGGCAGTTGCTCAGTAAAGATGCGTTCAATAAGCAAATGAGAACCTTTCCTTTATGTTTCCTGAGACCGGCTTTTTATATCTCTCTTTTGACATTTTTAAAATCACCATCACTTTAAAAAACTCATCACCTTCCATTTATTGACTGTGTACCACATGCCAAGACCTCTGCCAAGGTGGCTTATATTATTGCGTTCAATCTTCACAGAGCCCTGTAAGATAGGCACTCTTATTATTGCTCATTTTCCAGGTTGGAAATCTACCGTCATCCTCCTTCCCATCCACTCCAACAGCATAGACATAATGACCCAGTACATTGTTTTTATTGTCACATTTCGCTAGGAAGTTGAAGAAGTAAGACTTTTGATCCTAAACCAGCTTGGAAGAGTAGTGCACCAGCCACTGGGAAGTCTTGACTTCAAAATGCAATTCAAGGTGTCTTAGGAAGGAGAATACAAATGGAATCTGCCAAGAAGTACAATGATTGACAACAAAGTCGCTAATGATACCTATGTTATTTTGGCTTTTATATCTATTTCTCTTTGTAAGATCATCTCCTTCTTTATGTTGTTATTATTTTGTACCTGTCTGCCTGCATTGATAGATTTGTCTCAATTCTATGCTTCTAAATTCCTTATATGTAGCTGAGGACAATTCCTTGCTCATAAATTTGATGGGCTTCCTCATAGGTTTGTCATCATGGTTTCAGAGAAGCAGGTTATCTGATGTGAGTGGCATCTACTGCCACCTAGAGGCAGGACGTGCTAATTGCAGAGAAAGTATCTAGACGTGTTTCTGAAGAGTAAAATCCTAGAACTGAAAGCATGAGAATGGCTATAATGATACCAAATGTTACTGCAACTTTCTCCTAATTTCTGCGTATATGTGGGTGTCAATGTAATATCATGTTATCCAGGCTTTTATTTCGGGGGGCAGTGGGAGGCAGAGTAATGAGTTATGCTAATAATGTATCATTGTCTACACCAACGTAGCCCCATAGAATTTTCCGCAGTGATGGAGATATTCTGTATCTTCATTGTCCAACATGGAAGCCACCAGCCACCCGTGGCTATTGAGCACTTGAAACATGGCTGATGCAAACGAAGAACTGAATTTTACCTTTGATTTAATTTTAATTCATTTACATTTTTACATAGCCACATGGGGTCAGTTGTAATGGACAGCACAGGTCTAGACATACAATCAAGAAATGAAAGTTCAAACCATAAAAGAAATTAAGTCAATCAGATGGTTACTTGGACTGCAGAATACCAAACAGCCTTTTCAAATGTTTTACTGTATTTACTAATATTTTATCTGCACAGTCTCGGCACTTACGTAGGCAAATCTAAAGATTTTGAACAGCCTCACTTAGGGAATACACCTACCCCTCTCTTTAATGAGCTGTATTCCTTCTCAAGCAGGTTTTCTCTGATTACCTGATTACCTGTTAGAACTACCCACGCTCTCAGCACCAACTAGCCCCTTTTCTCGCTTGATTTTCTTCATATACTTATCTCCTTCTGCCAGCTCTATGTTTATTTGTTAACGAGTTTATTGTCTGTCTTTCCCCGGTAAGAATTATGCTCCACGAGAGAAGGAATCTTTGACTGCTTTGCTCACTGCTGTATCCTAGATCCATGATGGACATTCAGGGGATATTCAATAAATACTTTTTCTTTGGTCAAGTTATTGTCTTTTTTTCTTTAAGATTATTGGCCCTGAGTTAACATCTATCGCCAATTTTCCTCTTTTTTTTTTTAATCCCCAAAGCCCCCCAGTACATAGTTGTATATCCTAGATGTATGTACTTCTAGTTCCTCTGTGTGGGATGCCGCCTCCGCATGGCTTGATGATCGGTACTACATCCGTGCCCAGGAACCGAACCACCGGACCCTGGGCCATGGAAGCAGAGGGCGCAAACTTAACCACTCCATAGGCCGGCCCCCGAGAAATACTTCCGGAATGAATGAATGACTCAGCAGTTCCTTCTCTGTCTTTATTCCTTTGTTCTGGCATTTTCCTACCGTGTAAGGGAAGCTAAAGCACTTTGGAAAAGAGCTCTTGGGTCCACTCAGAGCCTCTCTGCTTTGCTCTTTTCTTTTAGCAGACAGATGACGCAGCGCCGACGGATGGCCAGCCCCAGACACAACCTTCGGAAAACACGGAAAACAAGTCCCAGCCCAAGAGGCTGCATGTCTCCAACATCCCCTTCAGGTTCCGGGATCCGGACCTCCGACAAATGTTTGGCGTAAGTACTGCCTTTCTCCTCTGCTGTGCCCGCTCTGGGGTCCCAGAGTCCTTCCCTCCTCATGTGACTTCTTGGTACTTATAATATGAAGGTGAGATATTTACATAGAAAAAGAAAGGCATTTTAGATCCTAATCTGTGGGTATATTGTGGCCAGGATCTCTTTATGACTTTAGTATAAATTTCTTTGCATATATTCACCATGTTTCCACTTTGCCAAATCGTCTTCTTCTAATTAGTAACTTGAGTGTGGAATGGAAAATGAACTCCCAGATCACACACGGTTCAAACAAGCCCACTGATGACCCCAAATCGAGTGGCCCGGGACCCAACGTCCTGGCTAAAATAAACATGATGAGTCATCTTGGTTCTTCTCTTTATTGTAGTTGCCAAATTATTATGACATATTCCTGCATACCTTACTCTTTCCCGGGCACTGTGCATTCAGATTTCAGGTGCAGCTGTAGAGAATAATTCATTCTGCATAAAGCTTCATTAAAAAAGGAAAACCAAAAAACTAGAGATTTCTAGGTCTGGCTTGCATCCTGCAGCATACGTTCTCCCAGAATCAGTGATGAGGTTCAGCGGTTCTTATGGTGACGTTATATGCCACAAATGACAGCCTTGCCCAGGCACCATAGCAAAATGCAGAGTGAGCCAGAAGCCATGGCCAACCCAGAGAAAATAAACGACAGAGTTGCTTCCTCGTGGGACATCATGACCCTGATTCTTTTTCTGGATGATATCTGCACTCTCCACCTTGGGAAGGGATGAGTTGGCCATTTCTTTGAGCTCAGGTCCACCAAAGGACAAAGCTGTCACAGAGCTTGGATATCACTCATTTTTGCAAATGCGGTCTATTTGTCCATGACATCCCAGCATTGATGAGAAGTATCTGTGGATTCAGGGAAAAGAACTACATCCTTAACATTTGACTTAGAGTAAAGGTTGGTTGCTTAGAGACTTCTAAGAGTTTGTGGATGGATGCAAATATTACAAAACGAACAAGGAGAGCCCCAACTTTAATGCCCAGTTCTGGGGAACGTGGTCGCATCCCTCACGTGTAAAGGAGAGCTCTAGTTCCTCCCTCTGTGATGGTGGGGTTAGTTTGCCCCTTTTATTTCTTTAACATGCATGATGTTTATCAAGTATGCATCTGACACAAAAGCAGAACAAGCGTCCTAATACTTAAGATACCCAGACTTGAATCCTGACATTTCAGAGGAAAAGGTCAGCTTCTGCACTTTTATCTCTCTCATTTGGTAATAACCTTGAGTTGAGCTCTCTTACTCTTGCAGAGCAGACATACCCTCGGGCACTTTCAGGTCAAAGATGACTTTGAAAAGTGCAGAGCATTCAAAGTGAAAGTCGAGGTTAAGTGTGTGTGAAGCAGTGAGACCAGGTTTGAATGATGGGCAGCCAGAGGGATTAGATTCCTTTGCCACATCAGGTTAAGAAGATGTCTTGCTCTTCAGTCTATCTTTACTCATCAAGTGTCACTGGGATGCTGGCTTTGAATTTGGCCCTCTTAATGACTGTCCTGGTGCTCTTTTGCGGTGTCGCTCATTACAGCACACCCCAATTCCCACCGATGAGGGTCCCCTTCCCAATCTAGTCTTCTTGGTTATCCTGAAATTTACCAGAGGGCTACACTGCTAAGGCAGAGAGGTAATCAAAATACCCACAGCTGGAACTCTCAAAGAAGGGATTCATGCTCGCATGACTATCTGAGCCTCTCTATTCTTATAGGAGTAGGGCAGGTGGCTCAGGGCAAAGTCTTGCCAAAAGATGGATCACAGTGCTAGTTGTCAAAACTTGATCAAAATCTCCTGGTTTCAGAGCCACTTTTTGTAAAAGTCAAAATCTTCAGGCGACTGAGAAGACGTCAATTTGACAAGATGATAGATACGCTTGGTATCTATCAATTAAGAAAACAGCATACATTCAGGAATACTGAAATTAACTTTGTTTATCTCAAACAACATCTGTGTTCATTTAAAAAAGTATGCCAGGTTTTTCCGTGGGTTTCGCCCATAAAAAATTGTCAGGCACACATGGGATTCCTGGACCCTGTCATAACTCTGAGCCCTCCTTGGTTTACAACCACCATTCTGAAGAAATGGAATTTTACCACTGAAAAGAAATCTATTCTTCCTAGCCAAATATTGGTGGTGGCAAACCCATTCTGGTTATAGGTCCATTTAGTGGCATGGATCCCATTGAAAGGCATTTGTAAACATTCTGATGGGATCCCCACACTCCAGTTGAGAGAATTAAGTGTGATTTCCTCTTTCAGGTCCTAGTTACTCTAAGAAATTACATTTTAATCCCCATCAGGCATATTCCAAGTCATTTGGCCTTGAGAGGTCTTCTCTCCTTTTGGTGCTATCTTTTGCCTTTGTTCCTTCATTTTGGCAGAGCCTACAATGAGGGCGATTACGCATTACAGAGAAAAACCCTCACAAAAATCTGTGTGCTTTTCTCCTTTGTCTCTTCGGTTAAATATGGCCCCAGGGATTGCAAACTAAAAATGAAACAAGACAAAAAAGCAACCTCCTTTCTCAAACAGCCTACAACCTGGCAGTATTCATAGCAACTTCTGTAACCATGAATAATTCAGTCATGAAGTGTGCAACCTGTGGAGGGCTAGTGGTTACCACAGATGCTTCACAATTTATTTTTAATTTGTGGCTTCACTGCCTCTTCATGGGGACCCCACTTACCTTTCTTCCACCAAGCACTTCGTATTCTTTACTTCCTCCTCTTTTGGGAGCATTTGTTTCAGTGTTTGGCATTAAATCTTCTAGCACTTGGTAGATTTTTTTTCTATTAAGACAGAACATTCCTTGGTCAAGAACGTATGTGGCCACAAAGTCTAAAGGAGAAGCCGGAGTCTTTTTAAAACACCAGTTGGGGTGTGAGTGAATGGGTCTATTATATTATTAGGGCTTTGGTTCCGGACATTTCTCCAGAAAGAATGTTGGTCTTGGCCCCAGCTACTTTCTTCTCGAGCCTTGGTCATGTCAGGGATCTTGTATGTGCATCCACTTGCTTGTCTGAATTCTTGATGATCCCATAAAAAGAATGTATGGATTTCCACCAAATTAATTACAATGACTTGCTCTGAAATAGAATGCTTAATTTAACCTAATATTTAAAATTTAAGCATATCTAGGCTTTAGGTGAGAGAGGTGATTATAATATATCCAGACCATTGTTACAGCACATTCCATCATAGAATAGTTTTCAGAAATAGCTGTTCAATTAGTACAGGTTTCATATTTGCACAATACCTTTGTAGATGTCACCACCTTGCTTTCGTTATCAAAATACAGACCCCCTGGCGCGAATATTTGTCTCTTTTTATTGTCACCAAAAATAGATCTCATGACTTTCAGAACATGCAGACAAAGCTTTGATGGTCTCCTTTTTAGTAACTGAATAGAATAATAAAATAGAGATGCCTGCCCTTTCAGTGTTAATACCAAAGTTCCTTCTACCGCAATGTTACGGGTAATGAAGCCATTTTTTCCAGACATGGCATGGTGCCTCCTATTTCTGCATTCCAAACCTGAAGCCAACCCTAAGAAAACTGAGACGAAGGCTTTTCTTAGCCTTCTGTGCACTCTTTGAACTAACCTTTACTTTCATGTTTTATGCTGTATCCATTGCACATCTTTTACAGTTTTTCAGAGAAATATTATTTGATCTGAGAATGTCTAAAAGTGCCTGGTACATATTTGCCCTGGTGCGTGCCAATAAGCTTCCAGATTTTGTTCTTGATCCAGCTGTTGACATACCTTGCGTGGATTCGTGGTCCTTGCGTGGACCATGTTGAACACTGCTGAACACTGGTGTTGAGCAAACAAATGGTAGTTATGTCTGCGAATGAGTCGTGTCTATTTAAACTGAAAATGTGCCAGCTGTGTTTACATCATTAGTACCAAACTTCCCAATTAAACTGTTGATACTATAAATATAGTACACAACTGTCTTAGAAAGGGGGCTTACGTCAGCATTCTTCTTATGGCTTATTGCACTGGCTTTGAGAATCATCAACCCAATGGCAACTGCCAAACAGGGAAACATTGAGTCCATTTCAGGGCATCTGGTATCAGTGTTTCATTTGGGGAATGACACGTGCTAAGATTACTTTTTGACTGGTTCTTTCCCAACCAGATCTTATTTTAAAGGAAATGTTTTTGTGTTGACTGCTTAGAGAATGTTCTGTAGATGACATTTGCTTCATGGTTTTGGAAGACATTCTTTTCAAGCTTCTCCATCCATAAGTATTTGTGTTTCCAAGCTCTTATGCCTGAAATAAACATGATAGCATCTGTGTGAACTGAATATTCTAAGGAGGTTATATAGAAATTGCTGCTTGTGAGGACTTCACAAAGCTGGAGGATTTTTTACTATGAAATTCAGTTCACCTTTGAATGGCAAACCCTTCATTTCCCCAAATCTGAAAGTTTTCTTCTTATATTTGTCATGGTTTTCTCTGCCTAAACCTAGGGCACTGAGAATGCCCTATGGAGGAATATTCTTTTGACCAAAAGGGAATTTGAATGTCCACCAATTGCAGGGTGAGTTAGCTGCATGTTTCTTGGTATTTCCATTGCACGTACCTGCAATGTACTCCTTGCATCTCCTCTCCTCATTGAGCCTTCTCTTCTTGATTTCTTCCTATCCTTCTACTTCTCTCTGAAGTAGACAAGCACTTCTGCTAAACAAAAGAAATTCCGGTTCATAATCCCCTGGCTGGGTACATACCCTGAGGAATGGGCACATTTCCATGGCACAGGATGACATAAGCTTTGAGTTTCTTTTTCTCATAGTCAAAACTACTTTCATTTCAAGGTACTGAGCTATTTATATTCAACTGGAGTATGCATATTCTGTCTTTCCAAGGAAATTAGATTTATTTGTATGTTCCAGAGGATAGCCTCTGTACCTTCTCAATAAATTTGTTCTTGAATCTTTGGGAACTCTCCTGACACCTACTCTGTGGGTCCCCCTGTATTCTGTGACCGAAGCACATTGGTCGGGCCAGCTGCCCCCAATTATCTGTGTTCTAATCATTTGTTCCTTTTCTGTTGTACCCCTCCCTCCTGATCAGTCTGTCTTCTGCTACACAGAGGTTGCTTAATGCTTTCCACCCAGGGGAGAGAGACAGAATACAGAATGTCCTAGGGTAATAAAGGATGCAATACAAATCCAGCCTTTAAAAGCAAATGGAACGATAGGAAAACTCAAAGACAAGGAAAAACAAGATGGAAATATTACTTTATATTGTTCTGTTTATTTTTTAACATGAAAATGGGCATCTGCTCTCATTCTGCATCAGGATAAAATTTCTATCTTATTTTTCCCTGGGCTATGTCACATCCTCTTATGGCACCTTCTTCCACTTGCACTTAGGTAGAACAGATCACACCAAAAAATGCCCACTTCATGTGATCTAAGAAAACTGAAAGGATTCCGCCTTCATAGAAAAGTGTTTTGGATTATGAGGTACTTCTGTTTTCAGGATCCATGTTCCCTTTATTTAAGTGTGAATCGAGAATTGCCTGAAATGCGTTTCTTACTAGGACTACCAGATTTAGCAATTTAAAAAAATACAAGAAATAATAGTTGAATTTGAATTTTAGATAACAAGTATTTTAAGTATAAGTATGTCCCAAATATTGCATGGGGTATACTTATCCTGAGAAATCTGAAATTTAAATTTAACTGGGCTCCCACATTTGATCTGGCCACACAATTTATTTGTAATCTGAAACTTTGTGTCTAGACTTAAATATATTAAGATTTGCTCTTACTTTTTAGAGAGCCTATTCGTGCTAATTGTCTAAAATTTAATTGTTTGTTTAACAATATGGAGAATCATCTTGAGAGAAGTCCATTTCAGCCTGAGGACCAATCACAGCTATCCTGGAATCTTGATTATGATGGGTGCCCATGTAGTGGATCTTGTTTTGATCTGGTTATACTTTATTGTCTTATACGGCCTGGCTACTCCTAGCTTTTAGAGGGACTAGGGGCCAGAATCCTCAACATTATATTCCAGTTGGGCATTTTACTATGAAAATCCCATTCATCAAGGGTGTTTCTCTCAGTGGCTAGTGGGATGGCTACCAGTGTAGCCTAGGAGAATCAGTGTATACCCAAGCCAATTTTAATTTTGCTGCTCAGTGCCTGGGAAAGCAATCATGTGCACATAATGAAAGGAAAAGAGAATTAACCTCTGGATGACATATTTTGTCCTAGGCCTCTACTATAATGACTCACTGGATGGGGTATATGATAATAGGGAAATAATATGTGTGATTGTATTTGCTTTTGGTTCAATGTTTAATGATAGAACCACATAAAATGTATATCCTTGTCACTAAAAGAGAAAAAAAAAATCCTTTCTTGGAGAACAATGACCAATGACCAATGTGCCTTGTATTTGCTCCATTTCTCTTCTTGCTTATAAAATATTTCTATTTCTTTGCAGCAATTTGGTAAAATCTTAGATGTTGAAATTATTTTTAATGAGCGAGGCTCAAAGGTAAGCAACTTAATTCACTTCAGAATTGTTTAGCTTATTTTAAAATGCTTACTATGAATAAGGGGAAACAACTGCACTGTTTTAATCAGCACCTTGTGGAAATACACTCCAGTGGGAATTCCCTGAGAGGCCACCTCCAGTTTCCAAAATGGTGGGAAATACATTGGGTTCAGTTTAGAATGTATAAGGGGGTAATTTAAAATTGCTGTTTTGTATCTATCTATATATATCAAGTTTCCAGAGGAAAATTACCCATGCTTAAAAAAATAATGTTGTTGCAACATTTTTGTTTTTCAGTGATAATTATGTTCTTTATATTAAAAAGTGAGTTGATAGTCTCATGAGCAGGTAAATATGTGATTATTCTGTATTAATAAAGTGCAGTTATTTTCCTGGGTTGTAGGGGAGAAAATTTCATATACACCAACCTCTTGAATATAATTTTATTCATTAAGATGCTTACCGATCCACGTTTTGCAACTTGCCGTTGCTTTGAATTGATTTTTTCTAGGAAACCAATTTTAAAGTAGATTTTCCTAGAGCTAACAGTGTTAGTAAAAATCGAGGATTGTATGAAGAGGCTCCAGCACCTTCAAAATGGAAATACGTTAAGCACAAAAAATAAACTCTTCCAAAACATCCTCTGGATCAATAGGCATCTAAGTGTGGTCCCCAGACCAGCAGCTTCAGCATCACCTGGGAACTTATTAGAAATGCAGATTCTCAGGGTCCAACCCAGACCTGTTGAATCAGATACTCTGAAATGGGGGCCCAGCAATCTGTGTTTTCACAATCCTTGCAGGCCTATTTTTAAAAGTTATAAACACTGCGTCTTTCTGGTTTCAACAAATGCCAGCACTGCATTTAAATGCAGAATACCCCTTTGCGCACTGGTGTTTTGTGGGAACTGAAGTGAACTCCTTCTACCTGGACCTACAGAAAACTCAAGAGCACCATCAGAATCTCCCTTGGGGGAAAACAGTGCATTAAGCATATGAACAGATACTCAGTGATAACAGAGAATGATGCTGTCAACGGACTCAGACGTTGACCTCAGCAACCAGAAAGTGAACACTCTCAATAAACTCGGCCGTTTCCATCATGCCCTAGATTGTCAGGAGTTTTCAGCTTCTTTCTCCTTGCATGCCCAGACTGTGAAAGTGCAGGTTGAGAAAGATTGCTTACTAGATACAGAGAGATACTGGTTTTAGCCCCACACCTTTCCTGACTCAGGCAATTTGGGATGTGTCAGTATTCAGGACAGTTACTAAAAAGAAGTGGTTTTATCTAAGGTGGCAAATGCCAGCTTTCTTGGGTATAACAACCATGAGGAAAATATTTGAATTTATTATTTCTTAGGCAATCCGCAGCCTCTCCCTCCTAAGTAGATTTCCTATTAACTGAAGAGAGTGATGCTCGTTGAATTGAAGGATGAAAATTCCAGTATTCTCTTCTTCACAGCCCAAATGTTGTTGTGATATGCCAGATGAGTTTAAAAAAAAGAAAATCAGCCCATTCTACTCTCCAGTTCTGCCCGTTCAGGGACCTTGTCATTCTCTTATGATTTCAGATATTTTACTGTCATTCTTGTAATATGTCAGTGGTTTGACCTACTGTAGGCTGAGGGAAAATAAGTTAACTCTCTTTCTGCTTCTTGTATGAAAATCATTACGGGGACCATTTCTCTGCCTGCAAAGCGAAGGGCATTAAGAGAAAAATGTACCCAGCCTGATGTTTTTCACTCAGGCCTGATGTACTCTTGGCAAAACTATAGGAGATGACCTGGAATGTTGGCCAACTTTCTTCTCATCCCGAGTCTGTAGCACTACTGCTTTTAACGTTTTTTTTTTGTTTTTAAATTTATTTAATTTATATTTTGTTTTGTAACTTTTGCCAGTTGGAGAAAGCTGTTTAATTCCTTTCAAGAGCTGTTTTGGGACATTAGAAGAATATCATTTGCTATTTTGAAAGTACAATGGCAGTGCTATTTTTAAGATCTCTTCATTCATTCCTGTGATTAGCCTGTCTCTGATGCTTCGGGAATAAGCCCATTTAAGTTTGCTGCATCCGGAGACTGACTTTGTAAAGATGCTTTTTTTTTTTTTTTTTTATTAGGAAACATCAAAAATAGCCTCTCTCGGTGGGTTGCTTCCTCCAAAAGAACTAGTCTGGCAGGTGTTAGGGCTGACGGCTTAGGTACGACTGGAGTGTCATCAAGACGGTCCAGCTGGGAACTGCTAAATGGGGGCAGCAGCTCACACAGGGACATTTTTCATATTTGACATTATCCTTTATGGGAAAGGGTTTTATTTGAAGGAACATTTCCATTTTAATGGTTGAGAAACCTGAACCGTTGTTATGACCACATTTTCATCATTTGGTGCTAGAGAAGCAGCCAGCAAATGGGTGAACCCTTACGAGCTAGGAGTTCACCTTCTGGCCATTCTCTTTGGGGACAATACTCAAGACAGGTCACTCAGTGCTTAGTGAGGAAGGCTGTGTGTTCTCTAGGTATTTGGTGTGTGCATGCATGTGTGTGCATATACACCTATACATACGCAAGCAGTGTCTATATTACCCTGGGAATAATGTATAACATAAATAGTTTATGTATATATGGATAGCAAGTATACAGGGAAACCACATTTTAAAAAGATATGCCAGGAGCCAGCCTTGATGGCCTAGCGGTTAAAGTTTGGCACACTCTGCTTCAGCAGCCCAGGTTGGTTCCCAGGTATGGAACCACACCACTCGTCTGTCAGAAGCCATGCTGAGGCAGTGGCTCACAAAGAAGAACCAGAAGAACTTGCAACTTCACCCAACTATGTAGTGGGGCTTTGCGGGGAGGGGAGTAGAAGAAAAAAGGAGGAAGATGGGCAACAGATGTTAGCTTAGGGCGAATCTTCCCCTGCAAAAAAAAAACAAACAAAAGAAAGATATGCCAGACTTTGAAAGTGAAAATTAGATAGCATTTTGGGGTGAGAGATCCCAGAATTCATTTTTCCTTTTAGGAGATTTAAAATCCTTTTGTTTACCTCTGAAACATTTCCTTTGGGGGATACAGCCAGATATAGCTACTTTTCAATATATCTAGGAAATATACAGTCTGATCTTTGACTCAATAGATATCTATAAGTACCAGGTACATTCCAGGTACAGGACTGGTGAACCCTTCATGAGTGAGACAGAAGTGCTTCCTGTCCTCGTAGATTTTCCTGAGTAGCAAGAGTGACAGACCGTTAAGAGAAACAACGGCAGTAAAGTGTGCTATGCTCTCTGGCAAATGAGAAGCTGCTGAGATTCCAAGCAGGGAGACCAATATTGTCAGAAGGTAGGAAGGCTTCTGGGAAGAAGGGGCATTTAAGCTGAGAGTGGAAGATGAGTCAGGATTTCCCAGGGAAGGGCAGGAGGGAAGATGTTTTGTCAGGGCGAGGGAGTTGCGTATGCAGAAGCCATTGGGAAGAAGTGAGATGGGAAGCTCTTAGGCCCACAGGAAAAGGAACCTTCAGACTCTTCTAACAGCTCCCCTCTTATAAATAGATAAGAGTTCTCTGCACGAGAAACTAAAGGGATTGGATTTTCATAGAAGACGAAAAATCAGTGCGCTCCTCCATCCTGAGTGCGTCAGAGCCTTTATTTAAGACATAAAATGTGTTTGCGTTAATATGAAAAAGGAAGATATCACCTTCAAATATGCCGTAAGACCAAAAGAGAAAAATAACTGGGATACAAGAAGGTCAGAATTTATGATTCACAAGATGATTTTAAAATAAGCAAGTCATGCTGGTTTGACGGTCCGTCTTGGGGTTGCTATCATCTGGTCTATTGATCTTGCCTTCTCGTCATAGGGCGGCACACATCACAGATTCCCTTCTCCAGCAACATTGTGCCTTCTCTCAGCTTTACCCTTCTGTTCCAAGAAACCTGGAAAGCAGAGTTCTTATCCAGCATTCAGAGAGCATCTGAGGCCCCTCCGTGTAGCTCCTCATGCACTCTTGATCTTTAAGAGGTTACACACCAGCATTGCACTCAGTTCCTATGCTCTCCAGGCCAACCCTGAATGTGCATGTTCTGGTCCCCTTTTTAATGCTGAGATAAAAATATCCAGAATAGTTTTAAGAACTGCAAGTTGCAGTTTCCTTGAGACAAAATTCTGACCCTGAGAGAGGTCAAAACAAACAGCCTCAGCACCTCCTTCAAAGTTGCCCAGCACCTGTGCTTGATAGAGAGGGTACCTGAAAATGGCCTGGTTATGGTCTCTGTTTATGGCATAGCTCCCTGGTGAGAATTCTGGTGATCTTCAGACCCAGGGAGGCCATATCACTTCTCGTCCCGGTGAGAGGTGAGATTGTCCAGTGGAACGGGTTGGAAAGTCCCTTTGGTATTTGGGGGACTGTTTCTGGAGCAAGCTCTCGATGAACTCAACTCATCAAATCTCAGCTAGTCATCTCAGCAGCTTGAAAGGAGAAGTATCCAGCGGCTCAAAAAAAGAGAGAAGTTTAGCAAAAAATGATGGGAGTAAGAATACTAATAAAAAGAATCAACAGATTATCTTTACTTCAAAACAAAGTGAGAACTTAATAGGGTGGAGTACTTCCTTTGTAGTTTGTGAACTTTCCTTGGGATTCAAAATATGTTTCTATTTCCACTTTCTTCTCTCCTTGTCATACATAATACAGATTTTAGGCCAATGTAGTTTGCCTTGGGTTTAGATTAGATTGGTGATGACTTGATTCTTTGAGATGAGGTTAGACTGGTGGGTTGAATGTTGAGTTTCACCTGGCTGCGTTCTTCCCAGTGCTGTGGTAAGAATGATTGTTAGTGCCTATAGACAGCAGTGATGCCAGCAAGCCCCCCATTGATGAGACTCAGACTACGAACTTTCTTTCTTTGCCTAGTGAGAGAACTACCTATCCCGATACAGCTAGCATCCTAGTTTCTCTTATTATTTATCAAATGTTTCACGCTGCTGTGGATGCTAGAGAGCTAGGCTTAGAGGTGAAAAAGAGAATCTCACTATGGGATTTTGGCTGTACCCTACACCTGAGATGCAAATAACTTAGGTAGATACTCACCTCAAAAAGTTCATGCTGCTCCATAGGTTGCTCTGTAGAAATCAGCAATATCATATTCTCCTTCACACAGTGAACCAAAACCTTCTTTTGATGGTGCTTAGTGATATAAGGGGCCGTGGAAAGCCAATTGCTGGGCCATACGGAGAACTTTTTTGGCAAACAGGTTTCTCGGCTCCATTCAGGGATTCTGATCTGGTGGATATGTGGCAGGACTCAGGAATCTAAATGTTTAATATGCTCCTCAGTTCCTCCCAATGTACATCTAAGTGTGGGACCCATCGGCCAAGAATCAGAACCATCAAATAGAGCGATCCTCCTCCAATTCTGTCTTTTGCCCATCGAAGAGCTGTTATTTCCAAACCATTCAGCTAGGAGGTATAGTTGAATATCCAACATGGTCCTTCTCATGGAGCATATAATCTTATATTAATGAAATAATTTAGACCTATCCTAACCACAGATCCTCGCTATGAGAAATATTATGAAAGGTAATTTGTCCTAACCCACACAGTAAAGACATTTATTTTTTTTCTCTATAGAATCGTGTCAAATAATCAGCTACTCTAGCTTGAATGCATCCATAGCTGGTGCCTGCTACGGATGAGCTCAGATTAACGGAAGATTCTCTTTGAGGCAGATCATTGGGCACACCTCTCAAATAGCCTGAGCTTCAGAGATCACATTAGTGCCCTAGTGAGGGATTGGTGGTTAACACTAGTTGGTTATGACCACCTGTTATTTGTAATAACTGTGTATGTTATTAGTTTAGCAGAATATCATACTGCCCCAAGTAAGCGTAAAGCTTACCTCCACCATTATGAACTTCCACCCGGTGCAAATAGGGATCCCAATACCTTGCGTTATTTCACCCAGTTTGCACTGTGAAAACCAGAATGAGCTGGGCAAATTTACACTGGAATTGTTTCAAAAGGTTGGTGTATATTTCTGAACAAGATGTACAAATATTTTTAAGGGTTTTAAAAATAATGTGCCATATTTTCTGTTACTCTTCTTAGGAACAGTGTCAGTGAAGAAAAAAGATGGATTTTGACAATGTTTAGTGGGGTTGTTTTTTGTGGCTGAGATATTAAAATATGCCAATGGTGAAGACAAGGGCCTATTTGTTATCTATCAATAAAAGAGGAATGGCTCAGAGTGTTATTACAAATAACATTCTATTAACGAACCGTCTTTATTTTCGACCTGTTGATATGACAAATGAATACCAGCATTCTGTCTTAGAACTTTACAATACACATTTCCATTTTCGGTTGATAAAGTAGTCTGGAAAGTTGACAGATTCAGAAGCATGTACGTTATTTGAGGGGGGGGGAAGTTATTAATATTAAAAAATGTTACTTGAACTGTTTGCATTATTAATCAATTGATGTTTAGTTCTATTCATTTCATGTGATTATTTTGTTTATTAGATCAAAGAGGTTAAGATTTATTATAAAAAAAGGTCTTTCCTTTTTTTAGGCTTCTAATTTTTATTTTTGGGGAGTAAAGGCTGTAGAATTGACAACTTCAAATAACCCTAAAATTGCATGAAAAAGAGATGTTCTTAAAACCACACGGCATGACTCTTTAGGCGATGTTAGAAGATTTTGGCATTCATTGTTGAATTTCGTGCACATGTTTTATTTTCTTTTATTCTTAATTTGCATGTCAAGAAAGTGGTTCCCTTATTTTTTCCTCGTTATTTCATTTTCTTCTCTGTGAAGACACTGTAAATTTATTTTGATCTCATTTTCTTTCCGTTAGATTTATTTTCTTCTGTAGTGACATTTAGAAAGGTATTTTGGGTATCATTCTTTGAATTCTTCAGGGGTTACAGCTAACGGGTGACAGAAAAAAAAAATCTTGTTCACATTTGTCGCTTACTTATTGCACATCTTAGTATTCTTATAATTTCTCTAATTTGCATGTTACAGAACTGAAGCCAGGACAAGACATAGAAATTAAAGCAAGAGAACGTTACACAGTGGTCGTTGACTGAAATAATAATCTGCATGTTGTTTTCCCTTCTCCCTCCTGCATGCAGGGATTTGGTTTCGTAACTTTCGAAAATAGTGCCGATGCGGACAGGGCGAGGGAGAAATTACACGGCACCGTGGTAGAGGGCCGTAAAATCGAGGTGCATGTCCAAAATATTTTCCTTTACATCTTTTTTATAAATGTCTGCTTCACGCTCATTCGTCGTTTCAGATGCATCATTCTGTCTTGTATGTGACCCTCCCCCTTCTCATTGTTTATATATATATATATATTTATATATAAAAAGGAAAACTGGCCTTACTTTTTTTTCTTTAATTTTACTTTATTATGTTACTCTTATGACTGCTGAAAGGTGGATGGCAAAAGTGAGACAAAAGAAAGGTTAATCTGAAAGTTTTTTTTTTTTTTTTTTTTTTCTGTGTTTTATAGTCAATGGGTGCGATAGGTTCCAAACAGTGGAGAGAGTGTGGCCAAACGAAATAAAATACAGAGCAGTTTCTTCTTTTCTTTTCTTTTTCTTTCCACTGCAGGGTTGACGAGGGATCCACAGTGGTGTGCAAATTAAGCCAAATTGTCAAAGAAATAGCGTTCGAAAGAATGATTGTTTAAAAAAAAAATGAGAGGTCTTTGTCATTAAACCTTTCATTTTTTTTTTTTTTTTAAAGAAGCCAGTTTGAATCTTTGTATTCTTTTGGTAGTAAAGTGAACGACCAAAAAGGATTTCCTGTTCCATATCTGGCCCCCCTGCATTGAAAAAATGCTAAAATTCCAATACTCAGAATCTACTCTTTCTACCACTGGATCTCCCTCAACGTGGCCACAGGGTCATATTTGTTAAAACTTGAAAAAAAAAAAAATACCAGTTAAAAATGCTTTAGTCTTTGGAGTAAGATGTTGCATATTTTGCCTTTCATTTTCCCCCCTCGACGATAACGCTTAGGCCCCTCACCAAACTCTCAGTAACCATGGTAACTGTATACAAACCCATGCTGGCGATGGCGGTGAATGGTAAGTGGTGAAGTCCATCTGCCGTTTCACGTATTTAGTGCTGATATATCTATATACATATATATATACCACGTGAATTTTTTTGACTTGTTGTATTAAGTTTTCTTGATGCTCTATTTTTTTGGATATTGGTACGCCTGTAATTGAGTGTACGTTCTAAGCTAGCCTGGGAGGCTCTGACTGGATTGAGACATGACCGGTGCACATCTTACTCAGATCGTTAACTCCATATTGTGTTAAACAATGCACCCTCTCTTTTATCCTTTTGTTAGCTGTGACTTTAAAGCTTGAATGATTTCGTTAATTCTTGCGATGTAAAAGGCTCTTGTTCCAAGTGTTGAATGCTAGATGTTGCTTCCCGGATGGTTCTTCCCTCCTACAGTGTTGCACACGGCTAAAACTTGTTTGTCCCTTTTTTTGACATTTATGTGCTCTTGTACCTTGTCTCTCCCCTCTTCTACTCCACTGCATGTTCCTTCATATGAACTTTATTTTATGTTTAAAAAATATTTCTTGTTTCTGTGTTACCATGGAGTACACGCATGCATTTAAATCTTCAATTATGCAGTTCCTTTTAATTTGCTTTTACTGTCTCCTTATTAAACTTTTAAATGATATGACATTGCTTTATTGAAATGATTTGTAAGTTAAAATGGTTATGAAGTAAATGTAATTATAAAATGTATGATTTTGTTATGCACCTACTGCCTTTTATAAATTAAAATGCATTTTAGTTTTTTCTTTAATAAGTAATCACAGTCATAATGCATGCAACTAATTGAAGTGTGAGCTGGCCCTGGAACTTGTGCTCATTTGCGTTTTCTATGTACATAGGTAAATAATGCCACAGCACGTGTAATGACAAATAAAAAGACTGTCAACCCTTATACAAACGGTAAGTAGAGATTGGCCTTTGACAAGAAACCGTCTCTACTGCTGATAACTCTGAATCTATAAGTACCTTAACAAGGGGATCTGTTTCAACAAGCCATGTGCGCCTCAGCATGGCCCCTGTGTCCTTGTTGCTGACCTGCTACGGTGAACCACCTGAATCAATATGATAATTTTCACAACAAAGGCAAATTTAGTTTTCCGGTTAGGCGCGCGTGCCCTTCTTCCAGTCTCTCCGGAATAACTCCCATTTGGGGTGAGATACCGTCATTATTTGGGGATTGGTTGGGTAATTTAATTTGTTGCTATTATAGTAAGTTAAGGGAGGGCGTTTTTTTTTTATCACCCCCTCCTCATCGATCACTAATCATTTCTGGATAGGCAACTGCAGAATTTGCTTCTGGCTTTGAGTCTTCTCTGGAGTTATTAGGCTTTTGAAGTGGCTTGGAGGGTGCCTCGCGATGAGTTCCATGGTGACGGCAGAATGCATGAGTACGTTATTCGCTCCTCTCTGTGTTGCCTGGTGGTGACCTTTGGGGCCCCGTGAGGATGTTGCTGTGCACTGCAGACCCATTCAGGACAGTGCACTTCTGCACTTACTAACCCAGAACCCATCTCAAAACTCCTCATAATAAGAATTCACAACATATATGATGAGTCATTAAAAATGTTCAGGGGGCTGGCCTGGTGGCGCAGCGGTTAAGTTCACACGTTCCACGTCAGTGACCTGGGGTTTGCCCGTTCGGATCCCAGGTGCAGACATGGCACCGCTTGGCAAGCCATGCTGTGTTAGGCATCCCACATATAAAGTAGAGGAAGATGGGCATGAAAGTTAGCTCAGGGCCAGGCTTCCTCAGCAAAAACAGGAGGACTGACAGTAGTTAGCTCAGGGCTAATCTTCCTCAAAAAAAAAAAAAAAAAAGTTCAAACATTTGGATTCTTTATTCCCTCTCAGGATAAATCTCTCTTAAGATATATGGGGGGAAACCTGCTGATATGCTAATTGCATACGTCATTCTATCAAACATTAGAAAGTCATGCAGTAAGTTAGAATATGTATGCTTAGTGGTGTATGATACCCATTAAAATGAGCAGGATGAACACTATGAAGGGCCCGTAAGGAATAAAAAATTCTAAAATAAAAAATTACATGTAGAGTATGATTTCAACTAAATTATTGTAGTCAGAATGCCAAAATGCTAATGGTTGAGTTGAATTGTCAGACGAAAGATATTTTTTCTTTGTTTCATGGGTTTTTAAAAATAATATAATTTTATTACCATCCTACGGGAAAATGTATGGAATTTTCCATTTTTAACATTTTAATTATGTGTGAAACATGGAAATAGTCATTTTAAAAAGAAAAGAAACATTAAAGAAAAAGCCAAAATACATTTTGAATAACGCCACTGCCAACTTGGTTCCTTCCTCCCAACTCAGAAGATGCCACTATTACAGATTATTACCTATACTTTTATTTTGTATTTTTATGCATATATATGAATATAGTAAGTATATATTTATAGTATTCACAGTACTGTGTACGTGCTTTTTATAAAAATGGTATTGTGGTGTACATGCCATTTTCAATTGGCTTTTGTAAATCAATATTGAGTCCTTTCAATGTTAGTACATATAGACCAAAATCATTCTTTGTAGTGGTTATGTAATATTCCATTAAGGTTGATTCTGACTTTCCACACTGATTGAAATTCAAGGTTTATTTTACTGTTGTAAAAGATAGTATTAGCATTTGGTAGTTCTATTTATGTTTTTCTTCTTTCTTGCGCCAATGGCTACCAATTTGGCCAAGTCGGTTTGTTCTTATTTTTAAAAGGGCCACCGTTAAGCAGAGATGTACCCTCAGTATAATAGGGCTCTAAGTTGAAAGACCAGAAGAATTATTTATTCTGCTGATCCATTTTCCCAGCTCCAGCAACCCAAGACATCTCCTTAAATGGTATAGAAAATTTCCACAACAGACTTTGAATGCCCAGTGCTGAAATGAAGCAAACCTCTGAATTATGTGCCAAGAATCTTTCTACCTGAGTAAAAATGTTAGCTCTGCAACTTGCCAGAGTTAATACATGATGACATCAATCAGACTATTGGGCATTTTCTTTAATTATGAAGTAGCCATCGTGTGTGTGTGTGCACACGCATGTTCTCATGCATATGCATAGGTGCTTGTGTGTGCTGTTTACATGAGAAAAATGAAGCAAGGGAAGTCAAATATTGTTCCTTAAGCCATATGTATGCATATTTATTTTAAAGAAAGAGTTATTGATCAATGTCATACCCAGAGGCTGAAAACTGAACCTGTGGGATTTTTGGACACAATTCAAAGCCCATTCATTAATAGCCAACATTTCTGGAACACTGACTGTATGGCATTATGTTAAGTATTTTATAAATGCAATGGGCCCACGTGAAGTCCTATAAAGATAATATAGTTATCCTTATTTTAAGATGCAAAAGCTGAGGCTAGATGGCATGAAGTAATTGGTGAATTCTTTTCCTTTTATTATGGAGTAACAAGATCTTGTATGAATGCATCACTTCCGCCCCATCATCTTCCAGAACTATACTCCAATGACAATCAGTTACGTGACAAAAAGATTATTAATTATGCAGCCCCAAATTCCTGCCAGATGTTGGCATAAACACCCCACATCCCATTCCAGGTAGCCATGTTTTCTTCCTTTTCAGGAATAAGCCATGTGGGTCTCTCATCCATGCACCTGGAAAAAGAGACACTCAGAGGCTTATCCTGTCTCATGGGCCAAGCATGGTACCCAAGGGTAGATGGACAGTCACAGTGGAACTGACTGGAAGATCAAATGCAAATCCTAATGACGTAAAGACAGTTGGCTTCTACAGAAGACATCACAGAGACTTTTGGTATTCAAAGAAAAGCAGTTCTCGAAGCTTTTCCAATCTTTAATTCATGCGTATCATCACTACAAATAAATTTTCCCATAAATTGCAATATAACATAACTGAAAATATAGGGGGCCCTCTCAGAGCCTTAACAAGAGTGACTCTATTAAAAGGGAATATTATCACCACAGAAAAAGAAAGTGGTATCTATGTGAGATGATGGATACGTTAATTAGCTTGATTGTGGCAAGTATTTTACAAAGTATAGGTATATCAAATCAGCGGGTTGAATACCTTAAATATATACAAATTTCAGTTGTCCACTATAGCTCAATAAAGCTGCGGGAAAACAAAAGAGGATCAGTGAAGTCATATTGAACAAAGAAAATTAAGTGATCAGGGAGATTCGTTCAGTAGCTACCTAATTCACTCTCACAGACCATCGAACTTACGCTTCAGCAAAATCATACATTACTAGAGTCATCAAATTTTGAGGTCGTCCTGCAATGGTGAAATGTAGCTATCAATGCCAGCATCACCTTCATGCGTTCCTTCAATTGTGTTTCCAACCAAAGTTTAAGCAGCTGCAAAGTTTCTAGTAATGAGTAAGATTGGCCCCTAAATGCAATGAGGCACATGGCTAGGAGGCTCTGCAATAGAGGGCCATAGTTAATAACATCATGGAAGATGCAGATTCCATTTCCCAGGACATTTGGATTTGGCTGTAAGAGAAGACTGTAGAATGACGTATAGGGATCTGGAACTCTACCCTTCAGAACACTCTAGAAAGAGGGAATTGGGCTTCTTCTGTATTCCTGATTTTTCCTGAGGACGCCAACCCTCAGAGAGGAGTTGGGCTTTACTGTGCTCATTGGAGATGAAATGTTTGCTCTGCAAAACAAGTTGAGGACCTGATTCTCAAGGATTCCCTGGAGGTTGGAGAAGCATGAGTGTTGGGTAAAGATCTTTTCTTCTCTTAGAGATCGTAGGAAGGATGAAAACTGCACAAAAAGATACAAGACTATATGGAGAGGTGAACTTTGTATCAGCTCTGCCGTACACTGGCTGTTGAACTGCAGACAAGTTTTAGAAACTCTCTACACATCAGTTTTCTCACGTAGGAACTGTAGATATAATGGGACCTATTCCATAGGCTATTGGTAATCATTACTGGAGATAAAGTACACAACAGAATCCCAGGGGTACAAAGTGCCCTAAAAAATTAATTACATACTAATCTCAATAATAAGCAGTCGTTGTGTTCCTTTTTAGGCTGTAGATAGTAAGTTGAATTGCCCGATGGACCTACTAGTTTAAGGATCAAATATTCAAATGCCAACAGGGCAGGTAAAAATAAATAAGCAAAGAGAGAGGGTCTGAAAAACTCACCATCTTTTTAGAGTGTCTTTCATTTTCATACTGAGAAAAGCAAAATATTTCTCTATTAGAAGAAAAAACAGCCCAGGGCAACAATCAAAGATGGCTGACATTTGGCCTCCAAGCCAGGTGTACGTTAGGGAGCAGGGGTGTCTATGACTAACTGGGGAGTTAAGTGGGGTGGTCCCTGTTCACCCCCAGCAAATTGGTCTATGGAGAAGTCTTAACCTAAAGTTGCCATTTCTACTAATGCTTCAAAAGAAACAGAAATCCTGTGTTTTAGATGAAATCTAAATGTTGGCAGTGAATACATGTTGCAAAAAAAAAAGAAAAAAATTACTGAGTGAACCAAACAAAATACATCTGTGCACAATGTGCACTTTTCATTTTGGGCATTGCCTCCTGCACCATTTCAGCCATCAGGTCTCGGGCATCTTTAGAACATGCCTTTAGAAAGCATTGGTGTGCAGTTTTGGGAACCCCTGTGGTGTCTTTAAGGGTACTTTCTTGAATGTGCTTCTTTGCTACCCAACCCGGCAAAGCCCTAGAGAAGATGAGAGCAGATTTTTTGTGTGCACATTTAAACTTGCCTTTTAACATCAAATACAGCCATAGTTAACACTGGGGATCTTGGCCAGCATTTTTCTAAAGAAGGCTGGCAGATGACCTTTGAGAAGCTAAATTTGAGGAGAGCTCTGATTTGCATGCAGCCCCTCAAGGCCCAGCCACAGAGGGGTTTCTCTAAACTGCTCATGTGTCTGATATGGAGCAAGACCCCCATGTGTCTGGTCTCTGCTCCATTGCCTTGTTGTATGGAGGGCCCTGGGAGGTTAGGAGTGGTGGGTTTTATCAGCTGTTCTCCTTTTGTCGTAAGCCTCATTGTTCAGTTTAATGTCCTTGATCAAAATCTCTGAATTTGCAAGGCCTGGGGACATACACAGACTGCCTGAGAAATTAAAACTGGGATCATTTGGTCTGTCTTCCAGACAGTGCAGGCTCATGTCTCCAGCAGAGTTATTTATCCCAAGGGTCTCTTCCAGGTACTAGAAGGAGTCACAGGGACTAGGGGGCTATTTGCATGTGATTTGCATATATTTACATAAGCCTGCATGAGTTCTCTAAGTCTGAGTGGAGGTGATTTTCAAGGGCTGGATTCTCATCGTCTTCCCCTTGAAGACAGTCATCTCTTAAAGGGTCCTTTATTAGATGTATATCAGGAAGCAGGTCATTGGAGGGTGGAAGTAGAAAGAATCCTAGCCAAAGGGGAATGAGTCCATTAGAAAAAGCTCTCTATTCCTTCAGTTCCTTTAGAACAAAACTAAGTAAAGATTTATGGAGCTCCAACTATCTGCCAAATGCAGTTTTAGATGCTGGAAATTTACATCAGACGGCAGTCCTGCTGACTTTACCATTAATTTTAATGAAGGAGTATGGTTATAAAAAAATTAAGAACAAAGAAAGAAAGAAAAAGAGATAAACCCAGGTAGTGTTCACAGCTATGCAGAAAAGAAAAATAAGAGTTGAATCAGGGAGTAACTCTAAAGAGTAGGGTGAGTGGTGTTAAGTAGCCTGTGCTGGTAAGACATTGGAGACCTAAATATCATCAGGTCAACTTTGTCAAGAACTGGGGAGAGTTCTCCAAGTAGAAGGAACAGCAGTGAGTACAATCTAGAATGATCTAGAATGATCTTGGGTGGTTTCATAAAGATTAAAAAGGCCTGTGTCATTGTGGTTTGAAGAGAAGGGAACAGTGGTACAAAATAAGTGGACAGAGGTTAGCTCATGTGAGCTTTTAGGCCAAGGTAAAGAATTTGTGTTCTTCTAAGTTAAGAAAGAAGCTGTTGAATTCTGAGTAGCAGAATGAGATAGGTGACTTAGTTTTTAAAAATTGATTTGGCCACTATGAATAGAAAGGATGAAGCAAGGGAGGATGGAAGGGAGAAGGAGTAAGAGGAGATGGTGAGAGTTAGGACATTGTTGCTGTAGACTTGTTCAGGAAAGAAACAGAAGTGTCTTGGCCTGGGACAGTGGCAATGGAGAGGGAGAGAAGTAGAGAGAGTGGAAACATCTTTTCAAAGTCTAAACAATAGGATTTTCTAATAGATGGTACATGGGATATGAGGGTAAGGGAAGAATCAGGGAATTATTGATGAAGAATTTTGTTTGGAGGAACCAAGTGGATGGAGATGCCATTTGCTGAAGAGGAAGACATGGTGAGGAAGAGTCTTCAGGAGAGGAAGGAGATGAGAATTTGGGTTCAGAAAGGCCTTTGTTTTCCCTACAGTAGGAGTAGAGCCGTCTTGTTTAGGAGAAAGCACTAGTGATGAGGAGAAGGGGAAAATTTCCCCTAATGTTCCCATGATGACCTGAGCAGTCTTGTTTCATTTTGCTGCTGACAGATTCCCAGTTGGTCTCTTATAGAGACCTTATCAATTACCTCTCTCAATGAATACTTGCAGACATGAGATGACACAGATCTCCTGATCAGGGAGAGTATCACTTGATTTCTATTATTTTTGTGTTGAATGAAAGTTTTCCATAAGTAGACTTAGTAAACTGGTAGATAACTGGTAGATAGGTAGATAGTGGCATTAAGTAGCCTGCCCTGGAAGACTTTGGAGGCCAACATAACATCAGGTCAACTTTGTCAAGAGCTGATCAATCAATGGGTCTATTGATAGAAAATAGATGATAGAGGGAAAGAGAGAGACAGAGATAACAGATAGATACATCAATAGATAGATGATAGAGATAGATAGATAATAGATAGTGGCACTAAGTATCCTGCCCTGGAAGACTATGGAGACCTAAATAATATCAGATAAACTTTTTCAAGAGCTGATCAATCAATTGACAGATAAATAGATGATAAATGATATAGAGAGGAAGAGAGAGAGATGATAGCGAGCTGGCTAGCTAGCAAGATGATAGAGATAGATAGATGAAATATAGATAGATGGATGATAAGTGATAAAGATAGATGGATAGATAGATCAGATAGATAGATAGATAGGTAGATAGATGGATAGATACATAGACAGATAGATGGATGATAGATGGATAGAGAGATAGATATGTTTCTTGGCCCAAGTAAATAAGGAAGATAAAGACAGATGAGAGATAAATGATTTAGACATTCTTAGATACCTCTTGGGAGTCTGTTTCTTTGAGAAAATGAAAGACCATTGGCATAACTTATGATCTTTAAGAGTTACATCAAAATTAATCAATGGGTCCACATTCAGTGAATGGTGTGTCTCAGCCCTGAGAGCAAAAAGAATTATTTAAGGGTGCTAATGAAAATGAATACAATAAACAAAACCTTACTTGAGTAGTACCAAACTGGCTGCGTCCACCACCAGTAAAAGGTAGGGGCATAAGCAGGGTGTAAGATGGGGAACAGAGGGAAGAAGAGGAGGAATAATAAATTAATAACTTAATTATTAATTTAATATGAGTCCTTATAGATTTCTTTCACAAACTCTAGATTTCTGTGAAGGAGTAGAAAGGGAACATTAAAGATGTCCAGATAACCCTGAAGCTTTATTTTCAACTAGTTTGCTCTTCTTTCTCTTAGGCTCCAAATGACTTGAAAATGGACATTAGTTCCCATGTCCTCAGGAATTGAGTATTTTCTTTTTTAGGAAGCAGTGGAATTTCAATTGGTCAAATTGAAGTCATTTTCCACATTCATAAAACATATATTTTGAAACGTCTGGGGTAACTTTTATTTTTATATCACTATAGAAATTCCTATAAGACAAGATGTGGTTAATATATAAGAGGGCAAGGTGTCAGTATGAAGTTTCAGAACCATTGGGACAATGGGTCTCAGAATTTCATCTTTTTCTGTATGTCTAAAATGGGGCCCAGGAGTTTCCATCAATAAGCTTTCCAAGTAATCCAAGGATAACCCCATGAAAAACCCTAACCTAAGGTCATCACGGGGGCTGTAATCTGCCTAGTATAGTCAAGTTGGACCTGAAAATTCTCAGAAACAAGACATTCTAGAACGTTCTAGAAAGTTCTTAAGTCCATCCAGAGGCAGCACACTCGTCTTACTCTGTCTTTTAGGAATCCTGTAATGGATGTTTTCATAAAGACTTACCAGCAGGAGCAGGAAATGATCACCAAACCCTAAAACGTGATCATTCTTCAGAGATTGTTCGCTAAATAAGGCCAATGAGTCTCTAATGTGGCTAGCTTCTCAATTTGCAAATATTCTTGTATACTCTTTTCTTGAGTAAAAGTTTCTCATGAGCCAGGATTCGTTATATAGGAAATGTTCCATCCAGAACATTTGGAAAATTACAAGATTCTGTTAATTTTATATACAGGTTATTTGAAAGTTACCTTAGATATTGTGCATTGATTAAGAATTTTTATGGTTCCTGAATGCACTGCAATGTATTCCACACTTAATCTCTAGTGGATAAATGTCATTTACTTTGGGATTTAAGAAGCACTTCAGAATTCTATAGAGTCTCTGCGTCATAATTAGGAATGACAATTATCGAAATATGTTGCTGCGAAGAATTCTGCTTATGCAAGCTTTCAAATTTTTGTGAACTTAATGCCAAGGGACATGTGATAGATTATCTAGCAGTGATACATGAAAGAAGACAAAAAGTTGAAATTATTATAGGGACTCTAGAAAATATTGATATGGTAAAAAATTAATTACCACATCGTTTTCAAAAGGTTCACCTAGAGCTGGTCAGTAATTTCCATATCATTAATTTGTATTGGTAAAATAGCAAAGGAGAGCATGAGTCTATTTTCCTATGTGTAGTTTCCAAATAATTTTTATGCATACCCAAAGTATATATCCTCTAAATTTTAAAATTAAAAAAACACCAATCCATTTGATTTGTAGTTAATTTGCAATAGGTTGTTCCATCAATTATGATAATGACATTTTTGTCTATTTGTTTTAAGGCTGGAAATTGAATCCAGTTGTGGGTGCAGTCTACAGTCCTGAATTCTATGCAGGTAAAGAGTTTTTCTTTGCATGACTCCTTTTGGTCTTCTCTAAATGTGCTTTGCCTGCCAATAAAGAACAGGTTTCATAAAATAATCTGAACCAAGTAAATCCTTATCCCAAGAAGTTATGAATGATTTTTTTTTGGCAAAACCAAAAGTGTTTAAAACCCTTTGAAAAATAAAGGGGAATCATGTAAGTTACGTTGTGGAGTAAGTGTGGAGCCACTGCTCCTTGTGACCTTGCACAATGATTTTGCCTCAAAAAAGCATGGAGACTGTTCAAGAGCATATTGAAGAAATGTAGAGCTGTTCACGCCCATTTTGTTTCAATATGCCTGGATGTGCTTTTTTAGCCATACATTTACATTTGGGGTTGCATTTTTTTTTTTACCCTGGCAAAGCAGAGAGTTAGCTCACTTATTCCAATAATGTGGCGGTGAGTTGAAATTGCCAAGAGAAGGATTATTTGGAAAACTAGAAAAAACTAAATTGTCTTTCTTTCTCCATTAATCAGTTTCCCTTAGCAATTCCATTTCTCTCTGCTTTGCCTTCAAGAATGTGTCTCTTTCCTCATCCTTTCCCTGCTACCCACCAACTCACCACCCAGTTGGGAAATCCACTCTCCTAGAAAACATAGTCATCAATTTTGGAAAGAGAGTAACCCAGAAGCAACAGTGGCTGAGATTTTTGCTTGGCTTGGCCTGTCGCTTCTGCCTGTTGTCTCCTTGTGCGTTAACAAGGCTGCATGACTCACCCGAGAACCTTAGTAGATTTGTCACATGGATATTGAAAGAAAGACTTTCTTTGATGTGGCCCTAGCTTTCTAATAAGGAGAAGTACGTGACCAATTGGTCTAGATCCACTCATTTCGTGATCTCTTGATGGTAAATCACACACCTCATTTTGTCCCTTCTGTCTTCCTTCTGTTATTTTCCTGGAACTAAGCATCAATTTTAGGAGATGACAAAGGGACATAGGAAGCTTACACAGCTACTACAGCACAGTAACCAACTTGACTAAAAAAAACAATTAGTAAATTTAGGAAGGCCCAATATGGTAGCTGAGTTCTGATTTTAGGTAGTTAGTATGTGCAGTCTCCTGCTGCATGAACTTTGCCACAAGCCTGGATTACGTCTAGGGACTTATGACTGTGACGGAGCTGTGTTCATTCTCATGAGGGGAAAGAAACTTAGATATAAGACTTTCTATGACTATACAGTGAAACCCACCCCCTGAGAGGACGCATAGTGGAGTGAGAATGTGGACACTGCACTCCGACAGCCCAGGTTCGAATCCTGGCTTCCCTCCTTGCCAGCTGTGTGACTCTAGGCAAGTTACTTAACCTCTCTGTGCCTTAGTGTCTTCATCTGTTAAACGGGAGATGATAGTAGTAACAAACTCACGGGTGTTTATTAGAATTAAATGGGTTAATATAGGAGGAGTGTTTGGTACATAGCCAGCACCATATAAACGTTGGGCAAATAAAAATAAATAAGTTAAGGTTCCACCTCTTGGACATAAAGGGAAAAGTAACCAAGAGCTGATTCTGTTGAATTCTGAGTCCACCACTAGACTAAGAGATTCTTTTCTTAATTCATAAGGGGACCAGTGTTTTCTTTCACAGCATGTCCATTTAGGGGAAGTTAATTTCTGGGATCAGGGGTAAGGCATTCTGTTCAGGGAGCACAGATATTGCTGGGGTGCATCCTTGCCCAAACCTTCAAAGACGTGAAAAACCTGAAAAGGGCATAGAGAAAGTTGGACAGCAGCTTCCGTGCATCTGTAGGCGCTGCCTGGTGAAATCAAGTGGGTGGAACGAAGAGGTGGCAGGTTCCCCGTAGGCGTGTGTGCACACACATGTGTGCATGTTTTTTCCCCAAAATAACAGTATCAAGAGCAAGAAGCAAGGAGCTATCCAATGAGGATGGAGGGTATCAATGTGTGAATTGTGATGGAGAGAAAAGTGCATGTTTCTGGTCCCATGCAAGGTGGTTGCTGGTCATCTTTGGCTCAAGCAACCGAGAAAACACCAAATATCTCCTTTACATGTGATTTCAAACCTATATGCATATCTGTGGGTGTTTAAGAGGACGTCAGGACTGAAGAAAGAATTCATTCTGACTTTTACATACTAGAATAAATCAATCTGCATAACTTTGAGAACATTATAGCAGCCAGTCAAATTAGCCCTGAGCCCAGTGGCGGAAGTTAGACGATTGGACCAGAAGGGAAAGAATAAGTCGTAAGAAGGGTTCATATTAACTGAGTACTGCCTATGGTTAGGCACTGTTCTACGTGCTTTACCTAAATTAATATAGCTAAACCCTCATGGCAGTTTTCCAAATGAGAAAACAAAGGTTCAAAGAGTTTGCATCACAGGACTAAGATTTCACAGCTGGGAAGAAGCTGGCTAGAATTTGAAATCCAGAACCTGGTATGCATCCTCAACCAGGTTATACTGCTTTATTTTTCATGAATCTTAAAAGTCGTAATTCTTATTGACTACCCCTATAATATTAGATCATGCTTCTGCTCTATGTCCAAACCAGTCGAATAAAGGAAGAGAAGATAATCATTCTAGGTTATTCCAGCCACCACCACCACCACCATATTCAGATGTATGAAGTGGTGGTTGTGTGAGGGGAAGCTTTAAGGAGTCTGGACAACCAAATAATGATTTCTATGAGCTGCTCCAATAGACTGAAATCTAAAAATAATGGGGCGTGGATAAGGCAGTGTTCCTTGAGAAATCTGAATATTTGTGTATTGTGTTACCAAATCTAGGCTATCCTTAATAATCAGAAGCTTTGCTCTTTTTGCCTTCATAGGTGTGTATGTAGGTAGACAGAGTTTATGATATTCAGAAATGTGGGGAAATATCACTGCAAATTCAATGCTCCAGAATAATTCCTTTGAAATATTTGAAGACCTACAAATGCTGGGAATCCAGCTAGCTTAAATTGACAGTTTCAGGCACCTGTATTTTTGCAATGCATATATCCAAAATGTAGACGTTGAACGCATTCATTCCCATATCCAGGTATAATTATTAATGTCATCCCTTTAAATATCCATGACTAAGAATTTAGGGGGCATTTTAAATTTCCCCAACTATAAAATATAGTCTGGATTTATCTTGCAATTTCAAATGTGCCTCAAAGCTGAAATGAAGACCTTGTCATTGATTTGCTTTGGATATTTAGCAAGCCAGCCCTGTATCTGCCTGAGATAGAAAGCCAGACTTACTTGTCATTTCTGTATATAAGATTTTGTGTTAATGACAAATATCATAATATTCCCATAGTATAATTATTGATTTTCTGAAGCTTATGCAGAATGAGCAACCCGGCCTCCAATTGTCTCCCAGAATGGGGCATGAAAAGTTCACATATTTTGTAAATTAAAATCAATATTTTCAATCTCTCCTAAAGGTAATTTTCCTAATTTAGTGGACTTTTCCCTAACATTTATTTTCTCTTTTAATTATAAAATGGCAGGTTATTGATTTTCGTATGTAACCTCTTGACGCCCTGAGTGCGTTTTTATTGCTCACAGAGGGTGGGGGAGGGGAGAGCAGTCGCACCTCTTAATGAGGATCTTTAATTACTAGCTGAACAGTATTAATTTGCTTTGATAAATTATGACATGCACTTTCCCTCGCTCGCACATTCCAGGGGAAGCATTTAGAAAGCTGTCGGGGAAGGTCTTTCATTCTGGGTGGGTTTTCTGAACTCTTATCAAGTCGTACCTAGAAGAACTCTTTTAAATGCTTATCCAAGGCCAGTCTCCAGAAGCAGACATACATAAATCAGCATATCCCATGAACATATATAAATCTTTTCCAAAGACAAGCGTCTGTTTGCCTATAAAGCTAAACAGCATTGATTATTTTTCCTAAGCCTAATCATCTTCAGACTTCTTGAGGCTTATTCTCAAGACAAATGATTGATATGTCAATAAAAAGCAAAAAAAAAAAAGTCCAGGTGGGTCTCAAAGACAGTGCTTAGCCAGCATCTATGGCCATTCCATTTTAAAGTTTAAATAAAATTAAAGGCACCTAATAGAAGTAGACTATTTGCAAATATTTTCAAGTAGCATGCTTCAAGTTATTCAGTGTAATTAGAAATAGTGTTTCTAAGAATCTTGACAAAGAGACCTCAAAGGGGATTCTTACAGTTTTCCCATCATTGTGAGAAATCCCCTCTGCCATCTAATAAAAAGATTTTTAAAAATGGTGTGTTTTAGAGATAATCAAGATATCTAGCCAACGAAACTGTTGATTGAAAGCACCTTTAATATTCCTAAATAAGTAAAACAAAATAAAAATAAATAACACAAGGTTATACAAAGATGTCGACATGGTACTGACAAATAGCGAATTCATCCGTTTCTCAATTGCCAGCCAGATCACTGCACGGCTCACCCACACTGTATATCATATCTGCCAACTCATTTCTGTGATTAAATATTCCATCAGTGGGGCTATAAGGCGGCAAAGCTTAACAAGATTCATAAGATGCACCACTTGAACACACATAACTCACTTCCGTGGATGGAGAGCACTCGCCTGCAGAGGAAAATTGGAATTGAGTTAAATTACTCCACAAGTCGCGATCAATAGGCAAGGGAAAAAGATCTTCCAATGCAATGCCAATCGAAGACATAGTTAGGTCCTGATGGCAAGAAACACAATTAAAGGAAAAAATAGAGAGATGCAGAGTAAATCAACTTGAAAACCTTGAAGATGGTGATGAGCAATAGTCTTGGTGACACTATTATGATTAGCGGAGATTTTTTAGTGGGAAGAAGAGGGCCCTGAATGGATACTTCTCTTGGAAAAACAGTTTCTGGTCTCGAGAGGGGAGAAAAAAATGACAAGAACTAGAAGAAGGGCGTACCTGGCTGCAAAGTCATATTTGAAAGGTGGTCAGGTCTTGAAACTAGATTATCCTGGGGTTAGAGGGAGGATCAGATAAGATAATGAGTATAAAAGAACTTTATAGACAGTA